GATGAACTTCGCATACAGTATAATAGCTCTACCGGTGTGTAGCCTCTAGCTCCCCACTACGCTCCCGCCCGCGCTGTCCCATGTAGTGGGAGCGTAGGTCTGTGTATTGCTTTTAGCCACGAATGGACTTGTTGTAGGTGATTTGATCATTAGGTATCTATAGGTCCGTCCAGGCTAAGAGACTAACACATCATGTCTATACACGATCTTTCCGATGTATGATCACCTCTTATTCTATAAATCACTCTTTTATTAGAAGTACTCTTTTAGGTGAAGATTCAATAATGTAACCCAACAGAGTAGGGTTACTATTAGGTCTAGAACTATATACCTATCCACGAGTTACCTTCTCGCTTCTCACTATATATATGGCCTATGACGTGAAAACGTGGTAGAGTCTGGTCACGCTAGGTTACTATACCTATAATATACGCTTGTTTGGTTCCATTATTGTATATCCCCCTGAGTTGCAGGAATTGGTGCATACATCGTGACCGCCATGGATTCGCATGACATCAACAGCTAATAATACCTATCAGGTATACATTGATGACATGCCATGACATATGGCATGGTTAGAATCACAGGGTTGGTGTCAACACACTCTAAGCTATATTGACATCTATACTGGCTTACAACTAGAGCTTACACATACTACGTATACAGCCATGGGTACCTATAGTATCGTATCAGGAGTCTATGTTCAGTATCCGATCTACTTCAAGAGCCGAGCATTAACAGTAATAGTAGGTAATGATGAGAGGGAGCCGGTGATGCGGAGTATCTTGAATCCTGAGCGAGCAGGCACCTGCATAATTATACGCATGAGCATCAGGAGACTATCAATCTTGCATTGACAATCTGACTGCTGGCAGTGAAATCTCCCTGATCGTGCCATGACATGGCATCATGGCATGGTTAGAATTACAGGGTTGGCTTACAACTAGAGCTTACACATAACTAACTATACAGCTATGGTACCTAGTATCGTATCAGGGGTGAATAATAGAGAATTTAGAATAGAAGAATCTCTATCTCTATCTCTATCTAGAATAGAAGAATAGAAGAATCTCTATCTCTATCTCTATCTAGAATAGAAGAATCTCTATCTCTATCTCTATCTAGAATAGAAGAATCTCAATCTCTATCTCTATCTCTATCTAGAATAGAAGAATAGAGAATCTCTATTATTTACTCCTGATCGTGTCTTATCCACAGTAGTCACCTTACGGCATGACAGGGATTATAGGTTATAGCTAAACCTAACCCAGTACACAAACCCCTCGCCATATACAAGTCCTTCTAGCTGAATTCTCTCTCACTACGTGAAATAGTCGTAGAGCCTGGTCGGGTCAATAAAACCTTAGATATTCCATGGAGTCTCTGCGTGAGAGAGTGCTAGCTAGCCCGCGCACCCGTCCTAATTATAGCTACCCCTCCTAATATACGCGTACCCACTAAGCCGTACCCCGCGGACGTCCCTAATATAGAGCTCTACCCATTCCCTAATATAGCTACCCACTCCCTAATATAGCTACCCACTCCCTAATATAGCTACCCACTCCCTAATTCCCAGCAACTTCCAGGTAAAACACCTGGAAGGCATGAATTTGCATTCTCATAGAAAGGCGCATGCATGCTAGCTCCCAGGTGAAACCCCATCAGCTATACATCATTATGTAACGTCTGTGTACTAGTATCGCATACACCCTCTGGATATTGATATTAGAGCTAAACCTGTAGCACCGCTTATTATGATATCCCTCGCTGTCAGCCTGCTCACTGTGTAAGTGTTGGGCGGTGCTGCGCCATCGTTTATTACGATTATTTACGTAAGCAGAATTATCAGTGCATGTCTGTGTGTGTGTTGTGTGTGTGTGTGTTGTGTGTGTGTGTGTGTGTGTGTTGTGTGGTGCGTGTGTGTGTGTGTGTGTTTGTAGAGGGGTGGGTGGAACTATAACGGTGTTGTGTGTAGGGATAGTTACTGATGCTTGCGTATGTACATCCGCTTCAACAACGCCCGTGCCGGGTGTCCGGGAGCCCATAATATGATAATTGCATGAACAATATGTCATTATTATATTGTCTCTGCTCTATCGGTGTATAAGGCTTGCTTGCTATACCTCACGGCGGCGGCGGCTGGCGGGGGGGGGCTAGCTATACAGATGCTAGTGCTAGTGCATGGTTGTCTCGCCACTTTTGGTCTATTTATGGTTTTTAGCTGGTTGCATAACCGGCCCTAGATAGGTAGGTAGGTAGATTCAAGATAGATTGATGTTTACTGAGCATATTTAGTTGACACATACGCATGTGCTTCTTTCATTCCTGTGTACTTCCACCATTCGCATAGCTATGCCCAAGCCTGCTTCCCTATCCCCTTGTCTGCCGCCTCTCTCACTGTCTGTCCCTCTATCCCTGCATGCCTTCTTCCTCCCTTCCTCTCTGCCTACAGGTATGTCTCCTCTATCCGTGTATATCTCCCCTATCCCTGCCCGCAGCCTCTATCCTGGTATACCGAGTAACCTCCCTCCCTCCCTGTCTGCCTCCTCCCTCTCTGTATTCATCCTCTTTTCCTGTATGCCTCCTCTACTCCTTCACACCTCCCTTCCTTTATACCTCCTCCCTTCCGTTATGCCCCTCCCTCTATCCATGACTGCCTCCTCCCTCCCTGTCTGCGCTCTGCCGCTCGCTGTTAATGCCTGCCTCCCCGTCTTCACCGCCCTCTCCTGTCATGCGTTCCTCCCGTGCTATGCCGCCCTCGCCACCCTGTATGCTTCCTCACCTACCCTGTCTGCCTCGGTCTGCCCGCCCCTGTATAAAGTGCGCTTTCTCCCTACCTCCCGCCCTCCCTGTATGCCTCCTCCCTCCCTGTCTGCCTCCTCCCTCCCTGTATGCCTTCTCCCTCGCCCTTCCCTGCCGCTCGTCTGTATGCTTCGTCCGGTCCGCCCTACCCCCCGTCGCCCCTGTCTGCCCATCATGCCCGTCCTGTATGCCCTCCCTTCGGGCCTGTATGCCTTCTCCCTACCTCCCCCGCTCCGCGCCTGTATGTCTCCTCCTCCCTGTCTGCTCTCCTCCCTCGCCTGTATGGCCTTCTTCCGCTTCTCCCGCCCGTCATCTGTATGCCCGTCTCGGGCGGCCGCTCCGCGGGTCCGTCCGCTGTCCTGCCTCATCCCTCCTGTATGCCCCATCCCTTTACTGGTAATGGCCTTCTCCCTACCTCCCGCCCTCCTGTAATGCTCCACCCTCTCCCTGTTTATATGCGCCTTCCTTACTGTATGCCTTCTCCCTCCTTCCCGCCCTCTCTGTATGCCTTCTCCCGTGTATGCCGCCCTCCCTGTATGCTTCCTCCCTCCCCCTGCATGCACGCCTTCCCTTTACTCGTAGTGCGGCTTCGTGGACCCTCGGCCGGTGCCGCTGCGGGGCCGCGGCCGGGTCGGCCTTGTAGGTGGCCTCGCTCCCTCGCCTGTGGGCGTGCGCTGCCGTCCCTCCATGTATGCCTTCTCCCTCCCTCCCTGTATGCCTGTATGCCTCTTCCCTCCCTGTATGCATTCTCCCTCTCTTCCGCTATCCCTGTCTGCCTCCTCCCTCTCTGTATGCCTCCTCCCTCCCTGTATGCCTCCGCCTCTCAGCTCTTCTGTATGCCTTCTCCCGTCCTCCCGCTATCCATGTATGCTCCTCCCTCCCTCCCGCTATCCTTGTCTGCCTCCTCCCTTACTGTATGATGCAGTAGTTTCGTGCGTGACCTCTTGTGACACGGTTACGTCACCGCGTACAGTACATCAGGTTCAGTCCTGTTCACGCAACCGAGCCGAGCGACCACCTCCGCGCGGGGGCGCATCCTCACCCCTCTCCATGTTCACGCAACCACCCACCACCCCTCCCCCCGTTCCTTCATATCCTCAGCGCCCTCGCCCCAGGTTCACGCAACCACCAGCACCACCCCCTCTTCGGTCGCTCAATCCTCACCCCTCCCCCTTGTCGGCGCCGCTCCGGGCGATATTGATTAGTTATCATCATCACCATCGTAATCGTCGTCGTCATCGCCGTCATCATCGTCATCGTCATGCAACCATGCAAAATCATCATCATAATCATCATCATCATCATCATCATCGTTGATCGCGATGGTCATGCGTGAATCCTGAGGGAGGGTGACGTCATGTGTTAGGCATGCTCCTTTGTTTACGGAGTGGCCGGGTGAAAGCAGGTGCGAACGAGTAGGAATTACATAACCGCAGGGCATAGTATCAAGTGAAATAAGAGAAGAGGCCACATGATTAGTTACCTTCTCAAGCTTCCCACTCACGTGCTCACAGTCGTGGAGCGCCCTGTGGGTCGCGCTCTCCACGGTCCTAGTATGGAGCTCTAGGGGAGAGCTAGGGAGCCGCTTCACTCGTGCCGGGACAGGCCTGAGAACCAAAGGAGGGCGGAAGGGCCATGATGGAGGTTCTAGAGCTGGGCCGTGAGGGTAGTGGAGGGTGCCAACAGTGTACGGCGCATCTTGCTGAGTAGGGTCTATAGGCCGGCGGAGTCGCAAAGGAGAGTAGATAGATGTGTAGGGGTACCGCTATTATCTACTTTCTGCTACCATGTAGGACCAACGGTAAGAGTGAAGGCCTACGTAGGATGTATAGATCTACGCAGGCGTAGTAGTCGGCTGGAGAGGGCAGACTAGTGTCGCCCCTGGGCAGTACTGCCGGAACGTACCCTCGGGTACCGGTCCGGGGTATAGGGGCCGAAGGTATCGGCTGGTGAGCTGGATCTAAGTAGCGCGAAGGCCGGGGTACCGGGGGTCGCCTACTCCAACTAACGATGTCTAGGGATTCGCCTACGCCTCACTCCCCTAACCTAACTCTAATCTAACCCTACCGCTAATCCTAACCCTAAGTCGCTACACGCCTAACCCATATCAAATAGTGACCAGGGTACGTTCCGGTACTACGGGACCGTACCGCAGCGGTACGTTCCGGCGCCGCAGTACCGCTGGGGACATAGACCCTATGAGCCGTAGGCGTAGATCAAATATCGCAACCTAACATATTAGGGGACAACATAATTCCAATTACTCTGAGTGTTGGGTTGTATTATTGTACCTAATGATATATATAGGTAGAGTCAAGCCCACATATGAACACTTTTTCATCTGAAAAGAACTTCTTCGTGTGCTCTTGGTACCCGCGAGCCGTTCCATAACGTGTACTGGGCGAAAGAAATCGGTTGCGTGGTGCGTAATAGTCGCAGGCATGCACATTGTCATTTGTGCATCTTTGTGATTTGTGATTTGTGATTTCTTCTACAGCCGAGTGTTACAGACATGATCTCAGACAAAACATAGGTGTAGCTAGTTACTCCCCCTGTAACATAGTATCACCCCCCCCCCCCCCCCCCTGCACCTACATGCAGTAACATGATTCCTGTTGTTACCACGAGCTAACACATGTATTAGTTGCGCTTGTTATTATTATAGGGAATGTGTTGTTATTAGGGGAGAAGAAGGAGAAGGAGAGAAAGATAAGAGACGCGTGTTGTATCGTATGTGAGCGCTCAGCTATGACTGTCAACCCTCTCTTCCTTGCTCGCTCAGCAGACCACACACCAGGCGGGGCGGGGGGTTGACGCGACGGCAGTGGCACACGCGACGGGCGCACGACACACAGTGCACGCAACGCAGCACACGCACGCACAACAAACCAGCACATAGCACAGCAGGGGGTCAACAACACACAACACATACAGACCACACGACACACACACGCACAGAGCGCACTACGCACACGCACAACGCACAACGCCACAGACACGGCACAGCACATACACACAGCCTAGGGCAGGACAGACATACTGAACGTCGTAGCGAAGAGTTTTTGTGGGCTGGGCGTTTAACTATAACGTAGTACGAACAACGAAAGCGACAAAATGGGGTACCTGTATTTTTGCACGCTATTGATGAGCTTTGCCGTAGGGTGGTGGGTGAGGTTTGTGTGTGGCTCCCGTTTTCTCTCGTCTCTCTGCGTGGGTCCGTGAATGGTAGCCGAGGGGATAGGAGCAGGGAAGGTGTAGGGTGGTGGGTGAGGTTTGTGTGTCGGTCCACATATCGTCGGCTGCCTCCGCTTCTCTCTCCTCTCTGCGTGGGTCGTGATGTAGCGAGGGATAGGTATCAGGGAAGTGTGGGGTGGTGGGTGAGGTTTTGTTGTGTGTACAAGATATGTGCGGCTGGCCCTATCCCGCTTCTCTCCCTCTCTCCTCTCTTGCGTGGGTCGTGAATGTAGGGAGGGGATAGCTAGCAGGGAAGTTGTAAGGGGTGGTGGTGAGGTTTTTGTGATAGTGGCAGATATCGTGGCTGTCTCCCGCTTCTCTCCTCTCTCTTCTAGTGCTGCGTGGTTCGTGAATGTAGCGAGGGGATAGGTAGGTGCAGGGAAGTGTTAAGGTGGTGGGTGGAGGTTTGTTGTGTGGACATTAATCGTGGCTGCTCCCCGCTTCTCTACGTCTCTGCTGGGATGTTGAATGTAGCGAGGGATAGGTAGCAGGGAAGTGTAAGGGTAGGTGGGTGAGGTTTGTGTGTGGCACAATTATGTGGCTGGCCTCGCGCTTCTCTCCTCTCTCTCTCCACTACTCTATCTTGCGTGGGTCGTGAATGTAGGCGAGGGATAGGTAGCAGGGGGAATGGTAGAGGGTGGGTGAAGGTTTGGTGTGTGGATAGATATCGATGGCTGGCCTGCGCTGCACGCTTCTCTTCTCTCTGCAGTGGTGCGTGAATGTAACGAGGGATAGGTAGCAGGGAAGTGTAAGGTGGTGAGGAGTGAGGATTTTGTGTGGTGGCGACATATCGATGCTTCGAGCCACGCCGCTTCTGCTCTCCTCTCTCATCTCTCTTCTGCGATGGGTCCGTGAATAGGTCTAGCGAGGATAGGTAAGCAGGGAGGAAGTGTTAGGAGAGTGGTGGGGGTGGAGTGGTTGTGTTGGTGTGAGTGGCGATACCGTGGCTGGGCCTCTGTTCCGTCTTCTCTCTCTCTTGGTCGTGTGTCGTGATTGTAACGAGGGGAATAAGGTAGGCAGGGAAGTTGTCAAGTTGGTTGGGTGAGGTTTGTGTGTGCACATAAATCGTGGCCTGGCCACCGCGCTTCCTCTCTCTCTGCTCTCTCTTCTCTCGCTCTAAAAGCGGATCTCTCTCTCTCTCTCGGACGTGGGTCGTGGAAATTGTAGGGGGCGAGGGGATAGGTAGGTCAGGGAAGTGTATAAGGTGGTGGGTGAGGTTTGTGTGTGGCACATATCGTGGCTGGCCTCCCGCTTCTCTCTCTCTCTCTCTGCGTGGGTCGTGAATGTAGCGAGGGGATAGGTAGCAGGGAAGTGTATGGGTGTGGGTTTGAGGGTTTTGTGTCGTGGGCAACATACCGTGGCTGGCCTCCCGCTTCTCTCTCTCTCTCTCTCTCTGCGTGGGTCGTGAATGTAGCGAGGGGATAGGTAGCAGGGAAGTGTAGGGTGGTGGGTGAGGTTTGTGTGTGGCAGATATCGTGGCTGGCCTCCCGCTTCTCTCTCTCTGCGTGGGTCGTGAATGTAGCGAGGGGATAGGTAGCAGGGAAGTGTAGGGTGGTGGGTGAGGTTTGTGTTGTGGACCAAATACCGTGTCTGGCCTCCCGCTTTCTCTCTCGTGCTCTCTCTCTATCGCGTGGGTCGTGAATGTAGCGAGGGGAATAGGTAGCAGCGGAAGTGTAGGGTGAGTGGGTGGATTTCGGTTGTGCTGTGGCACATACCGTGGCGGCCTCTCGCTTCTCTCTCTCTCTCTCTCCTGCGTGGTCGTGAATTGTAGCGAGGAGGATAGGTAGTCAGGTGAAGTGTAGGTGGCTGGGTGAGGTTTGTGTGCTGGCAACAGTCCCCGGGCTGGCCTCGCCCGCTTCTCATCTCTCTCTGCGTGGGTCGTGAATGTAGCGAGGGGATAGGTAGCAGGGAAGTTGTAGGGTGGTGGGTGAGGTTTTGTGTGTGGCACCATGTCGTGGCTGGCTCGCCCGCGCTTCTCTCTCTCTCTCTCATGCGTGGTCGTGAATGTACGAGGGGCATAGGTATCGGCAGGGAGTGTAGGGTGGTGGGTGCAGGTTTTTGTGTGTGCAGCATATCGTGCTGGCATCTCGCCGCGCGCCCCCCCCCCCCCCCCCCCCCCTTCCTCTCTCTCTGCTCTCTCTGCGTGGTCGTGGAAATGTAGGCCGAGGGGATAGGTAGCAGGGAAAGCTGTAGGGTGGTGGGTGAGGTTTGTGTGTGGCACGATACCGTGTCCTGGGCCTCCC